GCTGAGGCTGATGCAGGCTGAGGCTGAGGCAGGCTGAGGCTGAGGCCGAGGCTGAAGGCAGACTGAGGCTGAGGCTGAAGCAGGCTGAGGCTGAGGCTGAGGCAGGCTGAGGCTGAGGCTGAGGCTGAGGCAGGCTGATGCTGAGGCAGGCTGAGGCTGAGGCTGAGGCTGATGCAGGCTGAGGCTGAGGCAGGCTGAGGCTGAGGCCGAGGCTGAAGGCAGACTGATGGTGAGGCTGAAGCAGGCTGAGGCTGAGGCTGAGGCAGGCTGAGGCTGAGGCAGGCTGAGGCTGAGGCTGAAGCAGGCTGAGGCTGAGCCTGTGACTGCGACTGCCGTTGCCACTGCGACTGTCGTCGCGAATGCGACTACGACTGCGAGAACAGCAGAATTCTACAACTGGATTCTCATCCGAATCTGAAGGGGAATGCTTCCAAATATGCTCCTACACATCGCTGTTAGGTTGCTTTGCCGGGATTATTACCTAACAGCGAAAACTGATAGGTTTCTAGTAGGGTCAAAAGAAAGCATCATGACTCCACAAGGGGGTCCGGGCGGCATCCGGGAAGCTGGGTCCGAATTCGTTTTTCGCAAACAGTCACACACTTCGTGCTCTTCGACCTCCCAGAACTCCATTCCCGGGCCACATTCTGATTGCCCAGAACCAACTGTAGGCCACTTCGTGCTCTTCGACTTCCCAGAACTCCATTCCCGGGCCACATTTTGAATGCCCGGAGCCAACTGTAAGCCACTTTGTGCTCTTCGACTTCCCAGAACTCCATTCCCGGGCCACATTCTGAATGCCCGGAGCCAACTGTAGGCCACTTCTTGCTCTTCAACTTCTCCGAACTCTATTCCCGGGCAACATTCTGAATGCCCGGAGCCAACTGTAGGCCACTTCGTGGTCTTCGAGTTTCCAAAACTCAATTCCCGGGCCACATTTTGGGTGCCCGGAGCCAACTGTAGGCCACTTCGTGGTCTTCGAGTTCCCAGAACTCCACTATCGGGCCACATTTTGGATGTCCGGAGCCAACTGTAGGCCACTTCGTATTCTTCGAGCTCCCAGAACTCCACTCCCGGGCCACATTTTGCTTACTCGATGTCTCCGTCAGATCTCTCGCCACCCGATTCCCGGTTTGTTTTGTGTCGTCATCGTGCAGGGCAAGACGGCAGACCCAGGCGTCATCGTGCACTGGACGTTTCCGCCAGAATCTAATGCTTGTAGTAGCAGTAGTAGGAGGAGCAGGAGGAGCAGGACGAGGGAGGCTCCTAACTCTTTCCTCCCTCCCCTTTCTCCCTTCATTTCTGTACGGGGTACCCGACCCTTTATGGCGTCCTCCGCAGGCCTGGGTGGTCCACTCAGGCCGCGGGGGAGGATAGGGGGCGGGGGGGTCTTCTTCTTTCCCTAAACAGCTTGATCCTCGTCGCCAGTACTGAGGAGGGGGGGGGTGCACCGTTCCCTCGGATGGGCACATCCCCCCCTCGGGGAGCTCTCGTTTGGACCTACATCCATTGATAGCAGTGTCTCGCTTCGACTTCAATGCATGAATACAAACATCTCATCTGGAGATACAGTTATCGAAAGCCGTGAGTCGTTCGAAAGTACACCCATTGATAGCAGTGTCTCGTTCGAAGATGGGCTGATTGATAGCAGTGTCTCGTTTGTACTACTCTTGCTACTAGTGTTCCTACTGATACTACCATTGCTCACATTACTCCTACTCGTTCACTCCACCCACTACAACTACTACTTCACTGTTACCGCTACTACCATCACTACTACTTCGACTGCTATTACGACTGTTACTATTACTGCTGCTGCTGTTGCTGCTGCTAGTGTAGCTCTTGCTACTGCAACTACTGGCAGTGCCAATGCGACTGCGACTGCGACTGATGTTGCCACTGCGACTGCCACTGCGAATCCGAATGCGACTGCGAGAACACCTGAATTCTACAACAGCGCTCTTACATGAATACCCAAGGCAATGTTTCCAGCTATGCTTCTACACATCGCTGTTAGGTTGCTTTGCCCGGATAAATTTTTACCTAACAGCGAAGACTGATAGGTTTCTGGTAGGGTCAAAAGAGAGCATTATGACGCCCCAGGGGGGTCTGGGCGCGATCTGGGGGAGGGTGCCGGGCACTTTTTTAGCTAACAGTTACACACTTCGTGGTCTTCGAGGTCCCAAAACTCCATTCTCGGGCCACATTCTGAATGCCCGGAGCCAACTGTAGGCCACTTCGTGGTCTTCGAGTTCCCAGAAATCCATTCCTGGGCATGATTTTGAATGCCCGGAGCCAACTGTAGGCCACTTCGTGTTCTTCGAGTTCCCAGAACTCCACTCCCGGGCCACATTTTGAATGCTAAGGCAGGCTGATGCTGAGGCTGAAGGCAGACTGAGGCTGAGGCCGAGGCTGAAGGCAGACTGAGGCTGAGGCTGAGGCAGGCTGAGGCTGAGGCTGAGGCACGCTGAGGCTGAGGCTGAGGCTGATGCAGGCTGAGGCTGAGGCTGAGGCTGAGGAGGCTGAGGCTGAGGCTGAGGCTGAGGCTGAGGCTGAGGCTGAGGCTGAGGCAGGCTGAGGCTGAGGCTGAGGCTGAGGCTGAGGCTGAGGCAGGCGGCTGAGGCTGAGGGCTGAGGCTGACCGAGGCTGAAGGCAGACTGAGGCTGAGGCTGAAGCAGGCTGAGGCTGAGGCTGAGGCAGGCTGAGGCTGAGGCTGAGGCAGGCTGAGGCTGAGGCAGGCTGAGGCTGAGGCTGAGGCTGATGCAGGCTGAGGCTGAGGCAGGCTGAGGCTGAGGCCGAGGCTGAAGGCAGACTGAGGCTGAGGCTGAAGCAGGCTGAGGCTGAGGCTGAGGCAGGCTGAGGCTGAGGCTGATGCAGGCTGAGGCTGAGGCTGAGGCTGATGCAGGCTGAGGCTGAGGCTGAGGCCGAGGCTGAAGCAGGCTGAGGCTGAGGCTGAGGCTGAGGCTGAGGCAGGCTGAGGCTGAGGCTGAGGCAGGCTGATGCTGAGGCAGGCTGAGGCTGAGGCTGAGGCTCATGCGGCTGAGGCTGAGGCAGGCGGAGGCTGAGGCCGAGGCTGAAGGCAGACTGATGCTGAGGCTGGCTGAAGCAGGCTGAGGCTGAGCAGGCTGAGGCTGAGGCAGGCTGAGGCAGGCTGAGGCTGAGGCTGAGGCTGATGCAGGCTGAGGCTGCGGCAGACTGAGCTGAGGCCGAGGCTGAAGGCAGGCTGATGCTGTGGCTGAGGCTGAGGCTGAGGCTGAGGCAGGCTGAGGCTGAGGCTGAGGCTGAGGCTGAGGCTGAGGCTGAGGCTGAGGCTGAGGCGGGCTGAAGGCAGACTGATGCTGTGGCTGAAGCAGGCTGAGGCTGAGGCTGAGGCAGGCTGAGGCTGAGGCTGAGGCTGAGGCAGGCTGATGCTGAGGCAGGCTGAGGCTGAGGCTGAGGCTGAGGCAGAGGCAGGCTGAGGCTGAGGCAGGCTGAGGCTGAGGCTCAGGCTGATGCAGGCTGAGGCTGAGGCTGAAGCAGGCTGAGGCTGAGGCAGAGGCAGGCTGAGGCTGAGGCTGAGGCAGGCTGATGCTGAGGCAGACTGAAACTGAGGCTGAGACTGATGCAGGGTGAGGCTGAGGCCGAGGCTGAAGGCAGACTGATGTTGAGGCTGAGGCAGGCTGAGGCTGAGGCTGAGGCAGGCTGAGGCTGAATGCAGGCTGAGGCTGAGGCTGAGGCAGGCTGAGGCTGAGGCTGTGACTGCGACTGCAGTTGCCACTGCGACTGCCATCGCGAATGCGACTACGACTGCGAGAACAGCAGAATTCTACAACAGGAGTCTCATCTGAATCGTAAGGGGAATGCTTCCGGACATGCTCCTACACATCGCTGTTAGGTTGCGTTGCCGGGATACTGTTTACAGGACACTTTGTGTATATATGACATATACACCTTGTATGTATATATAGCTACATATGTGTGATTATGCACACATGTCGGGATATACCTCTATCTACATATATAAATATAAACATATGTATACACATGTCTGTATATATAGACAAAAAACGGAACCGCTCACGTCCAACCTTTACGCATCGCCTCCGTGGGCGGCGCATCGGCAGCATAGCCTGGGGTTACCGTTCCATGTGCGTGTGTGTTCTGCCTGATGTGCTTCTCTGTAACACCAGAGGGCCGCTAAAATCACAGGGCTTGCGATCACGACCCGAAAAGAGCAACGATCAGCTTTGAGAAACCCGTGGCCTACAAGTACCACAGCGCAAACTAGCATGGCTCTACGACATGAGGGACACACGAGGCACACTGTGGTGCCCACGAGCCTGTGCTACACGCTGGGCTCGTCAGCACCACGCCGCACGTGAGCACAACAGCGCTTGCGGGCTGCTCAGTGCCTCCGAGTATACGCACAACTTAGATTTGGCGAGTCCCACAGCATGTACGTGCAAGGCCTCATGGGCACCGCAGGGGTTGTGTACACACATGTCGTATGAAAACAGCTGCGCCTACGCACAAACCCTTGCAACTAACAAGACAGGCCTATGACTAGAAACGGGCTGGTGACCAAGAGTGCACTAACAAACACATGAGCTAAGTGCGCGAGCCGCAGCTCACAGCCTGTGTCCAGCCTGCGAGAGCAACTCGACGAAGGCTCCTCAGGTACGTCAGTCACCCCCTGGACAGGCGAGAGGCGCGCCATCGATAGCAAAAGAGGCCGCTGACGACGGCCAGCGTGCGATACATACGAGAAGGCGGAGGGAGGGAAGAAAAACAAAGAATTCACCATCCGCTACAGCCCATGCGTTGCACTTGAGTGCACCCGCTGAATACGCAATTCAGTCCATCATTTCAGCCCACACCTCCGAGAATTCACAAACCCTGCATCCCATCAGTTGAATTCACAGTTCAGTCCTCGCCGATCAGAGTCCGTTGCAACCCATGCCGCTGACAGCGGCGGTCTGCTCCACAGGTGCGGAAGGGCGCTGGTGGTATAGGCTGCTGCATCAACGGCAGGCCGCCCGCGACGTAGCGACTGAAAGGAAAAACGCGGCAAGGCGTATGAGCGCCGACGTGGTCTTCTGCAAATGCACGCCGCTGATGGCTTCGGAGGCAACACCATTGCGACCAGAGCTAATCTGGTACACGCTGTAGTCTGGTGCCGCTGCAACCTCGTCACAATTGTCCGTGAGCAGGCACGTCCCCGAAGAGTAGCTGAAATAGAGGCAGACAACGACGTCCGCGCTGCATAATACGGCGCATTCCTCCACGCTTCCTACCGTGAACGCGTACGCAGGTCCGTCGCAGCGTCCAGCGTCGCGGACCTTGGAATAGATTGGTGCTGCTGTTGGCGTAGGCGTAGGTTGTGTCGTCGGCGCCGGTGTTAGCACTACGACAGGGCCCACGCTCGGCAGATTAACGACTTCCACAGCGTACCCCGCGTCGGCGACCGACGTGATGGCATCCGACAGCGCGTCTGCGAGGCTGTCCTCGTCTGCCGAGGCGAGCGATTCAGCCACGTCGTACGCGTCGATCGAGGCCGAAACCTCCGACGGGATGTTGATCTCGAAGTCCACCTGGACGGAGTAGCCGGAGAGCCAGCGGACCGCAGCGGCGAGGCGCCTCGAGGACACCAGCGACAAGGTCGCCTCGACCATATCCGCGTTCTCCTCGCCGAGACCGCTCCTCACGGCGATACCCCTCTCGACGCCCAGCTTCACCTGCGGATCTTCCACCGCTGCCGCGTTGTCACCGAAGCTCAGCTTCATGCTGCCCGCAATTCTCGAAGGCTTCAGGACAGCGGTCGTCGATGACGCTGGTGTCGGGGATGGTGTTGGCGCTGAGGTAGGCGTTGCTGTTGACGCTGGTGCTGGCGCTGGTGTCGGCGCTGGTGTCTGCGATGACGCCGTGGCTGGTGTTGGAGCTGGATTTGGCGCGAACGGTGACGTTGGTGCTGGCGTCGTTGTTGGAAGTGGTGTTGGGGATGGTGTTGGCGCTGACGGTGCTGGTGTTGCTGCAGGTGGCGATGATGATGGCGCTGCTGTTGGCGCTGGTGTTGGCGCTGGAGTAGGCGTTGGTGTTGACACTGCCGTCGGCGCAGGTGTCGACGCTAGGGTTGGCGCTGGGGTAGGCGCTGGAGCCGGCGCTGGTGTCGGCGCTGGCGACGGTGCTGCTGTTGGCGCTGGGGTAGGCGTTGGTGTTGACGCTGGGGTTGGCGATGGCGTCGGCGCTGGTGTTGGAGCTAGAGAAGGCGTTGGAGTTGACGCTGCTGTCGGCGCAGGTGTTGGCGATGGGATTGGCGCCAGGGTAGGCGCTGGTGTTGGCGCTGACGGTGCTGGTGTTACTGCAGGTGGCGATGATGATGGCGACGCTGTTGGCGCTGGTGTTGGCGCTGGAGTAGGCGTTGGTGTTGGCGCTGCTGTCGGCGCCGGTGTTGGCGCTGGGGTTTGCGCTGGAGCCGGCGCTGGTGTCGGCGCTGGCGACGGCGCTGCTGTTGGCGCCAGGGTAGGCGTTGGTGTTGACAACGGGGTTGGCGAGGGAGTCGGTGCTGGTGTCGGCTCTGGTGTGTCTTGGCACTTGCCGCACTCTTCACACACATCTTCTGCAAGACGGCCATCCCAAAAGTCCAGTTCACACCAATCGTGACTGGTACTGAGTTCACCCCATTGGTTCACGTAGTCCACAGCGTAAGTCTCACATCCAGTTGCGAGCACAGGGAGTCCGTTGTTCACCCTATCATCATAATAGGGGTTTTGAAACTCGTCCATGTATGGGAGGCAGTATAATACAAACTGAGTTGGCGCTGGAGTAGGCTCTGGAGTGGGCGCTGGAGTCGGCGGCGGGGCTGGAGTCGGATCACATGTCACTGGTGAAGGCGTGGGCGCTGCCCAATTCTCCCCTGGACAGGCGCATCCAGCGCAGTCCCAGGCATATGATTTCTCGAGAACGTCGCACGTGTAGGTATATATCTCCCAGGCTTCGTCGCAAGTCACCCACTGGCCGCTCGCGTAGTATTCCTCCACGCATCCAGTCGGCGTCGGCGCCGGAACGGTCGAGCACACGCCGCTCTGGCAGACACCCTGGCCGCCGTTGCAGGGGCTTCCGTCGTCCATGGTGTTCAGCGCTTGGCCGTCGGAACCAGCCCAGCCAAACATGGGAGTGCAGGCGCCGGAGGAAGTGCTGATGCACTGCACCTTGCACTCGTTGTTCGGGTGGAGGCCGCAGAAGTCCCCCACGCCCGCGCCGAAGCCTCCTCCCGAGCAGAACGTGGCCACGCATCCCCCCCTGTCGCAGTACCCTGTGGAGTCAGCCATCAGGGCGCATGCCCAGAGGATCCGAGCACCACAGAGGCACAACTTCTCGGACGGGCGCGGGCGGCTCCCCACACCCTCCCGTCGGCTGCAAGCGAGAGCGGCCCTGGGCAAGGCAAGGGCGACCTTCGATGCGCGGCCTTCAGAGGGGGCCGAGGGGTGGGGGGACGGACGGGGGGCCGAGCCCAACCGCGAAAGCCGCTGCCATCGCGTCGCATTCGCCGGAGCAGGGCGCAGCGAGTCGACGGCGGCTCGGCACCGGCTCCCGGAGGCCTCCACGAGGCCGAGTGCAGCAGCTCTCGGCCCCGCGTCCGGCCGTGCCGACGGGGGCTCCCCCCAGGGCCAACCATAGCCGACGTTGCTGCCGGGATCAGCGAGGCCGCCGGTAGCGGAGCCGCCGACCCGAACGTCGGCGCAGGCCGCTGCAACGGAGCCGCATCCGGTGGTCGGGGGACCTCCGGTGCGCCCGCACCAATGTGTTCTTGCGAAGTGCCGGTCTCGTCGGGGGCGGCCAAGAGGGGGGGCGTCCAAGAAGGAGGGGGGGGGCGCAGATCGTGGCCGGCGGCACGTGCGCGGCACACGCGGGGGGGCCCGGGGACGCAGTGGAACGAGAAGGGGCGTCACGAGATCGGGGGGGATCTCATGGCCCCCGCCATGGAGGAGGAGGAGGAGGAGTAGGAGGAGGAGGAGGAGGAGAAGGAGGAGGAGGAGGAGGAGGAGGAGGAGGAGGGGGAGGGGGAGGAGGAGGAGGAGGAGGAGGACCTTATCAGCACCCCCCTCCTGGCCGCCCCCGATCTCGCTCGAACAGCAGAGCCCCGTGCCTCGGCGCCCTGCCCCGCGCGAGCGGGCCGCGCGTGTCGGAGGAGGCCCCCCCCCCCCGGGCACCGACGGCCAGGGGCCGCCCGCAGGCGTCCGCGGCTGTGTGCTTCTGTGGTCTTCCTGTTCCTCTGGCCTCCCGCCGCCAGGCAACGGCCGGGAGCTCCTCTGGCACAGCGCGACGCGGCGGCGGCCCAGGCGGCACGCCGTGCGCTGCGGGCGGAGAAGGTGTCGCTCGGAGTCGCGGGGCGGGAGGCCGGGGAGGGCTCGCACCGCCGACGCGTGGGGACTGGGACGCGGACAGCGTTTTCGCGCCTGAGCGTGGCGGGCCAGAGCTGGCGGAGTGGCACGCTGTGCCAGAGTTCCCGCTGGTTCCTGTCGCGCCGACGCGGACGTTGGCTTCTACCACCCCGCGGATCGTGCCCAACCAGGGGCGATGGCAACCTGCCGACAGCGCAGATCGTTCGACGTCGCCCGATGATGGGCCAAGAGGGGCGCTCAACCCGGAACGCCCGCGCTGGAGTCGCCGCCGCGTCGATGCAGCACCGACCAACCCGCATAGTAAGGATGGGCAACATTCCCGAGGGTACCCCTGCATCCTTGCCCCTTCGGCCCATCCTTGGCCACGTTCGCTGGCCGCGCCCCGCTCGAAAAGCCTCGAGGTGGCCTTCCGAGGACCCTGCACCCCTATCGCGCCTCCTTACGACACGGGTCGAGCGTACCCACATCCACCGCCTCGGAGTCGTGCCCAAGGGATCTCTCGAGGATCCTTCGAGGAGTGACGGGCGTGGACATCTGGCCCGCCCCCCGCTATGGCAGGAGAGGGTCCGCATCCACCGCTCCCCGGGGATCCAGAGCATGGCTTCAGCAGCTGTGGGTCTAGACTTAGGTCGGGCATGGCGGCATGTCCTCCGATAGGCGGGCTTGAAAGACATCACATAGAGTTACATTTAAAAATGCTCTGAATGGTCGACAAGTCCTCCCCTGACGGTTTTTCACTATCCTCGGATATGCCTCCAGTAGGTAGAGGACACGCCCGACTTAAACCTATGGGTCCAAATGTTACCTGGCGGCGCAGATGTGTGGTAGGAGGACTTGAAGCTGCCGTCGCAGTTGCAGCACTGGCCGTCCGGCGCGTCTGGCGTGCACTCCTTCCCCGCGTGCAAGACGCAGCCCGAGCAGAAACTGCATGAAGTAGCGCCCCCCGCACACTCGCACTCCTCTCCCTCCTCCACGACCTCGTTCCCGCACTCTGCAAAAAAGTTCGAGATGGCCTCGCAGCCCTGGTCGACACGATAGGCGACAACTGGGCAGATGTCGTCCTTCGTGGAAGCCGTGTTGAACTGGTAGATGCCCTCGTGCTTACCATCTCCGTAATCCATGATTCCGCCCGTCGTACCCTGCCCGTTCTCGAACGCGTGGTCGGCCCCGAAATCCGCCGACCCCTTTGTAACCACCGAGCGTATGAACTTGTTCCGCCCCCCACTGGCAGGCCCGAGCTGCAGCGAACCGAGAGAGCGAAGTGACTCGGAAGCGTCTCGGCAGCGGGCCTGCATCGGCGTCGGCTCGCTTGGGATCGCGAATCAGGCTCGGCTCCCACAGGCCGGAGAGGGAACCGGCGCGTGACAGATCGGACCAGACCGAGACCGGAAGATGATGTTGGTAACGATGACGAGGATGGTGGTGGTGATGATGGTGATGATGATGTTGGTGGTGATGGTCATGATGATGGCGGTGATGACTGGGGAAAACGAAAAGGGTATCGATACCGCTACTCCCTGGACCTCTCCCAAGGTGCGCTCGGAGCAGAATCTCGAGGCGAGCCCAGCGGTGGCGACGAGGGCCTCCCAGGAGGCCCGAGAATGGCGAAACCCAGGGGAAGGGTAGCGGCACGGGCACCCCTCCCTCCTCGGAAGGATGGGGGAGGAGGAGGAGGAGGAGGAGGAGGAGGAGGAGGAGGAGGAGGAGGAGAGGGAGGGAGGAGGAGGAGGAGGAGGAGCAGAGGAGGAGGAGGAGGAGGAGGAGGAGGAAGGAGGAGGAGGAGGAGGAGGAGGAGGAGGGGGGGACTGGACCGGAACGACCTGGGCCGCGAGCAGCAGGCTGGGCCTCCCAAGGCCGCCCCCTCGCGACGGAGCCCGGCCCTGCCCGCGGGGTGCGAGGGCGGCGGGCCTCTCCAGCGCCAGGGGCCCCCCGTCCATGGAGCTTTGGCGCCTGCGGCGGGCTTCTCCAGAGTCTCGCAGACTGCCGACGTCCCCACCGCCCCCCCACTCTTACCCGCATCTGGACTATTTTGAATACTCGAGGGACAGGCCCGACTGAATTGAAAGTCCTCGTCCTGGCCCTGCCCGACTTGTCATCGACCAGGTCCTGCCGACTTTCTTCAGGGGTCCGGCGCCGTGCTGTTCCCCGGGTGCGGTGGCCGTTCCTGTTCTGGCTTCGGCTCCGGCTCCGGCCCAGGAGCCGTCTTCCCTCTGGTTCTGGGAGCCGCTTCTCTTTTTTGCGGTGTGCCGTGGCATGTTCCAGGGAGCAGGTAAATTTGGAGAGCGGAACGGAAAGCGCACACGGGCCCACCACGTCCGGAGGATGGCCATGAAGCTGGCGTCTCACATCGCGTGATCTCCTCGATCGATCGGGGCTTTCCAGCGTACAGTCGGGGCCCGGAAGAAGGAACCCTTTTCGTTGGGGAGGGGCTCCGCGTTCCTGAAGTGTTTCGCAGCTTGCCTCAGGTTTTCCGAGGCTCTCGATAGGAAATCGGAGGTGAACTTCTGGAAAAAAAAGAAGCCTCGCTCCTTATGTAGGGTTCCTTTCCTTAGGTCAACGCCCCGACTGTAGCTGGGCGTCGCGCCACGGGGCGGGACGACGAGAGGTGCCCTCCTCGGGCCGGGAGAGGCCCCACCTCGGGCCCCAAGCGGCCCCCCCCACGCGCGCGCCCGCGAGGGGCCCCCTGCGCTGCAGCCCCTGCGGCCCCCCAGCTGTCGCCCCCGCCCCCCCTCCTCCTCCTCCTCCTCCTCCTCCTCTCCCCTCCTCCCATCCTACTCCCTCCTCCTCCTCCTTCCTCCTCTCCTCCTCCTGCCTCCTGCTGCTGTGCTGCTCCTCCTCCTCTCTCCTCTCCTCCTCTCCTCCCCCTTCCTCCTCCTCCTCCTCCTCATCCTCCTCCTCCTCCTCATCCTCCTCCTCCTCCCTCCTCCTCCTCCTCCTCCTTCCTCTCCTCCTCTCCTCATCTCCCCCTCTCCTCATCTCCTCCTCTCCGCATCTCTCCTCTCTCTCATCCTCTCTTCCTCCCCCTCCTCCTCCCTCTTCTCCTCCCCCCCCCCCCGTGCGCGACGCCCAACGCGGCGCGGATGCCCCGACGCCGGCCCACTCCGAGCCACCTGGCGGCGTCCGCCCCGGAAGGATCGCGCTGCGGTCGCCGCCGCGTCGCCGCGGCGGCGAACCTACCGTGAGACGCCTCGCATATCGAGATCCGCGAGGCGCGAGGGGGGCGCAGTCGTCTTCGCGCGCTCCCCTGCGCGGGCCCCCCCGGGAGAAGGGCGAGCCTCTCTGGCCCGGACCGCGATGAGGGCGGTCACCTCTGCGCGCCCCTGCGCGGGCGAGGTCTCTCGGAGGTCTTTCGGAGGTTTTTTGGAGGGCAAAGGAGGGAGGAGAGGAGGATCCAAGCCCTCAACCGCCTCCATCTCCTCCATCTCCATCCTCCATCTCCTCCATATCATCCATCTCCTCCATCTCCTCCATCTCCTCCATCTCCTCCATCTCCTCCATCTCCATCCTCCTTTCCGTCCTCCATCTCCTCTTTCCTCCCCCCTGCCTCCTCCATCATCTGACCTGCGGGCTTGGCGTCAGACTCATGGATTGTGGCCGACTTCGTGGGCGAACGTCAGCCAGGTGTCTGCGCTGACCCATGTGACACCGACGTTGGTATGAGATGCGCCCACCTTGTCGATTTGGCACATCCCATTAGAAGAAGTGTCCCCACGGTTGGCTAAGCCAATAGTGCCAGACACCCAGCAATCGTCGAATAAATGCCACAAGCCCTGCCTAGATGGCTGGTCCCACGATGCCAAGGAGTCTAACTGGCCTGCGATACCACTGCAGTCTGTCCAGCCAGGGTGCTCCCCTACAAGCGTCGGGATGTAAACCTGGTCGATCATCAGGACGAAATTGAGCTGAGGGGTGTATATCATGTTTGCCATTGCGAACACGCTCTGCAACCACTCTGTAGCATCCTCGGCACCAGTGAATCTCGCCATGAGCGTGGAGCCAATGGAGACCCCCATGGACAAAGCGCGGGTGATGTGGTCGTCAGTGTAACAATTTGTCCATCTCTCGACGGCCCCCGGGTCGAAGATCCTCGCCGACCCGTGCAGGTCGGGCATCCATTCGCCCTCGTCGGCTGTAAAACCTGCCGCCCTCTCCATGGCAAGCGCCTCGCCAGCGATCGCGAGCGTCCCCGTGCTGGGATCCGCCTCGACGTCCAGGAGACTCCCGCCCATCCTCACGAGGCCTCGAAGCCCCCCGTCCACGGGCGAGAGCACGGCACCGTGCTTCTCGCTGCGGAAGATGGGCTGGGCAGTCACGCGGTGCTGCGGCACCGCCTCGCCCCTTCCGTTCACGATCCTCGCCCGAGGGGTGAACACGGGCCCCGCGCGGTGCAGCTCGAGGCTGAACCTGACGCCCTGGGCGGTGAAGTTCAGCTCCAGCGGAGGGGCTGGCCCGAGCTCCGCCATCAGGCGCCGACCGCCTCCGGACCGGCGGAGCGCCGCCGCCTCTCCCGGGGCACGAAAACTGCACGCGTGCACGCGCGCGGAGCTCCGCGCGCGGACGTCGCGGATCGGCGCTGGGCCCCCCTCTCGAAGCACAGCCAGTGTTGAGTCGGGCGTGTCCCCCTACAGGGGGATTTTCGACGAAAAATGAAACATACTAGAAACATACCCCAAATGGGGGAGAAACAAAAAAAAAAAAAAAAAAGTCCCCAGACTATTTGTTGACTATTTTTGGAGATTCCCCCTGTAGAGGGACAGGCCCGACTTAAAGCCAGTGTTGAGACAACGGCAGCTCAGCACGATGCGACCATCGCTGCGGACCAGCGTCCGGGCCCAGTGGAGACCAGGTGGGCAAGGCCCTGGCCTCAGAATCCTGGCGCGCCTGGACAACATTCTGTGCGAGACAAACCAGTAACAAGTTATGGGGGGAAGGAGGAGGAGGAGGAGGAGGAGGAGGAGGAGGAGGAGGAGGAGGAGGAGGAGGTGGAGGAGCGAGGGAGGAGGGGGAGGAGGAGGAGGGGAGGAGGAGGAGGAGGAGGCGGAGGAGGAGGAGGAGGAGGAGGAGGAGGAGGGGAGGAGGGGAGGAGGAGGAGGAGGAGGAGGAGGAGGAGGAGGAGGAGGAGGACGAGGGGAGGAGGAGGAGGAGGAGGGAGGAGGAGGGAGGAGGAGGAGGAGGAGGAGGAGGAGGAGGGAGGGAGGGAGGGAGGGAGGAGGAGGAGGAGGAGGAGGAGGAGGAGGAGCAGGAGGAGGAGGAGGAGGGGGAGGAAGGTCTTGGTGGTCCTGGAAGAAGGTCCTCCCAGCGTCCAAACGCACTCGCTTCCCGAGCTGCGCCCAGCCGTGGCGACGAGGAGGCCCCCCCGACGGCCAGGCGCCGGTGTCTCGGCCCGCCCTCCTCGGGGCCCCTCCGCGGCGCGCGGCGGCGCGCCGCCGCGGAGGGCGGAGGCGCCGCCAGCGCAGCTCCGAGGAGTCCGCGCGGGGCGCCGCCGTCTCGTGCGCCCGCCGCGCCTGCCATCGCTCGGGCCTCCGTTCCCAGTGCCCTCTGTCGGCTGCGTGGGCTCCCGGCTGTTCGCGAGGTGGTCTCGGAGGCCTCGAAGGGCTGCCCTCGCCAGGGAGGAAGAGGCACACGTCCGAGCGATGCCGAGCAGCGCACCTTTTTTCGCTGCCTTAGGGGGGGGTGGAGGGGGGAGGGGGGACGTGAGGGGGCGTACGCTCCCCCCCCCCCCCCAGACCCTCCAGACTGTAGTGGTGCCGGACGCACTGCGGCAGTGCTGGGACGCACTGAGGGGGTGAGCGTTACGTTATACGAGGGGGGGAAGGGGGGGGAGTGTAGGGGGGCATAAAGAGCATGATCAGGAGAACAAGAAGGAAAAACGCCAGCAGGTCGACGGCGCTCATTATGAATATGGCGTCTGTTCTTCTTCGACTTGTGGACCAGACGGTGACAAACACACACTCTCCAGCGTGCTTGCTCTTCCCCGGCGCCTCCGCGACCAGGTCCCTGCCGCCCGCGTCCCGCAGGGAAAATGGGACGCTCCACCGGCGGCCCGCCTCACGCGGCCCCCCACGGCGGGCGCAAAGGCGGATGTCGTCGTCGTCGCCGTCGTCGTCGGAGGCGGCGCCGTCGTCGTCGGCGGCGGCGGCGCCGGCGTCGGCGTCGTCGTCGTCGTCCGTCCGAGGCCATAAGCATAGACTGTCGGAGGTCCGCGCGGATGTCTGAGGTCGGCGCCGGGCCCGGGCCTCCGAAGGTGCATGCGTGTGCCGCCTGCCCTTCTGCAGGAGGCCACGTGCGAAGCCTGCCCCACCACCCCACGAGTTCTGAGGGGGGAGGTGTGGCTCATTTCGCTCGGGAGGTCCCGAACGAAGTGAACCCCAGCTCCCCCCGCAGAACTCGTGGGGAGCTGGGGCAGGGTTCGCATGTGGCCTCCGAGTTGCACGAGGTGGGCAGGCTTCCTCAGAGGGCGGGGGTGGGACTCTGAGGAGCCCGCCTGGCTTCGGGGAGGCCCTCCGAGAAGACCCCCGCGCCGAGGAGGCCCCGCCGTGCCCTCGAAGAGGCCTCCCCTCCGCCTTCCGCGAAGGCCACCCCCCTCGCGCTCCCCCCGTGCGTGCTCGCCGCCAACGAG